AGTTTTTATTATTTATACATTTCTTATCTATTTTATATTACATATTAATTCCTTTTTTTTTTTCATTTCTCTCTCACCACAAGAGTTGGTCAGTACTTGATGTACAGGACATGAAAAGAGGAAATGCAGGGGAAATTGCTGTACTTGTGCATTTTGTGGTGCAGGAACTGGTTTAAAGCAGGTGCCAAAACACAAGCTCCAAAGCCAAGTTTTTGGAACACAGGTGTAGATTCAGAGCTGATTTCCATGCCAAAAAAAAACCCAGAGAGGAAGAAGTGCAGTTTCAATAAATGAATCACAAAACACCTTGTATAGCTCAATAAAAAGAGGATTCAAATCCTAAACTACAGTTATATGTTTCCTTCACTTCCTAATTGCCAATGTTCCCTGGAGAATTGGGTTTGAGCCAGTTTAGGCCTATCTAAAGCAGCAGAGAGAACCTTCTTGCTATTTCCACTCACCTCTTAGACACAGAAGAGGTTGAAGTAATTGGCTGATAGACTAATTAAAGGCTCAACATCACTAACAAGTTCCTTTCAACTAAGTCTTTTCAGGCCCTCTCATATTTCAAATCAATGCATTTGGACTCAAAGGCTGGAGAGATATTCATGGATTTATATATATATATTTATATAGTCATAGATTTAGTATCTAATTAAAGATTATAGTCATAGATTCAGATATGCATTTATTCATGGATTTATTCTTTCATTAATGACTATATCCATATCCCAGTTTCTCCAAACAGTTTGGGGCAAGAGAAAAAAAGCATTTTTAAGGAGTTTGGAAGAACTTGACCAACTCCTGCACCCTCAGTATGGCAGTTTGTCCCCAAGCTGTTCTGTTCTTCCCCAGATTCCACAGGATATTAAATTCCAGTGAAGCAGTTCAACATACAATTAGTTAGTTGTTGTTTTGTGAATTGTCTGCACTACTTTTCCTTGGCATCTGGTAGATCAGCAAAGCAACATCAAATCTATTTTAAGAGCTTTAAGGAAGCTGCCTAATTTCAGCTCGTCAAAAAGTCACGTTTGGGCTGTCTGGAAGTCTGACTTGGAGTCAAATCCATAGAGCCCAATGTTAATAAACTCTATTTTAATAGAAAATAAAACTGCTCACTGGCAAAGAAAATCAAAGGAATTTTAGTGTTAAAACCAACACAAAAGCTATCCTGAGCTTTCTGGTTTGCTTTGCCTTCCAGCCTTTTTTGCTCCTTTTTCAAAGGAGTTTCAGTGTTTTTCCTGAACTATTTCTTTTGTAATAAATATGATTTTTTTTCCTTTGAAATACTCTATCCAGTACAACCCTGAAAGGTCATTATGACTAATTTACTAATGGCACCTTCTAAATAGTCAGCCAACATAATACTCCTTCTCTATGAAAAATGTTTACTATGACAATCTTGGAATGTGGTAAAAAGGGAAAACAGGCCTAAAATAATAAGAATATATTATTATTGTATAGAATTAATATGCTATAATATAATATGCCATAATATAATACATTACAACGCAGTAGATAGAATAATCGGGTCTATAAATGCTTCCTGTAAAGAAATAACAGGAGAAATATTCCTGTTTCCATGTCTTACTCTGTTCCCTGTGTGAGTGTGGAGTTTTCTGAGTCCAAAGAAGCTTTCCCTTCTGTAATTCATGTTTATGCTGACTGTAGAATTGTTTCAAGGCTGTCAAAAATAGCAGCAAAACACTCTCCAGCTCTGGAAATGTTGATTCTTTAAACATGCCATTAATTCTGGGATGTGATGTGTGGAATAATTAAGTGGCATCTAGTTTATTACTGCTGTTAGGTTCAGTGTTATGGAGAGTTGTTGGGAATAGAATTCATTTAACCTTCCTTTTTATCTCTTTTTTTTTTTTATTTGCATAACAAAACAGATTCAAAGAGTAAGTATTTCTTTGCAGCTTTGTTTCTCTCAGCCTTTATGTTTAAAATATCTTAAATCTAATTTTTTTGGCATTCAATAAGAATTAATTCCTATATTCCAACTTGCTCTTGAGCTCTTGGTATGAGGAGTTTAAAATGTATTTATTTCTATAGCTGCTCAGTGCACTTTATTATTGCATTAAAGATACATCCCTGCAGAGATATAAATAATATATATAAGTCAATATTTCCATGTTTGTGATATTCCTCAAGCCAAACCAGTGCATGTCAGGATAGGAAAAGTCAGGTATTGAACTCCCTTAAAGCCAAACTGAGCTGAAACAATCATATCGCCTTGGTGGTGCTCCCCAGGTACACACAAAAGGGATCAGAGCTTTGTGTTCTAGATACAAACCACAAACTGGTTTCATAGTGACTTTACTCTTTATAAAAGTGATGTTTTTTTTCAGGAAAGCTGTTCATTGCAACAGAAATTTCCCAGCCAGCTCCACTGAGCTGTATGAGGACAAGGGGGAATGGCTTCAAACTAACAGAGAGTAGGTTTAGATTGGATATTAGGAAGAATTAGGCAGGCTTAGATCTGATATTAGGAAGGAATTGTTCCCTGTGAGGGTGCTGAGGCACTGGCACAGGTTTTCCAGAGAAGCTGTGGCTGCCCCATCCCTGTAAGTGTTGCAGACCAGGTTGGATGGGGCTTGGAGCAACCTGGGCTAGTGGAAGATGTCCATGCCCATGGCAGGGGATGGAATGAGATAATCTTTAAGGTCCCTTACAACTCAAACCATTCTGGGATTCTTTGACTTTGTTTTTATCTGGGGGAGCTCTGAGATTCCACCAAAACAGAACAATAAAGGCAGGAAAAGGTGATCAGCTTATTGCTTTGCTGAAGCCAAAACACAGGGATGGCTATAAACTGCAGGGAAAACATAGAAAACTTTACATTTTTGGCTTCTGTTGCGGTGTAGAGTGTTTCTCATGCGTATTTCTCCTTCCCTCCATGGCTCACCAAAGGAGACAGGCTGAGTGTGCAAAGACTGCCAGAATGCAGATGGCCTTACCAGCAGGCAAACCAGCCAGTGCTGCTGCCAACAACCTCTATGAGGAGCTTGGGGACAGCACCATGTAAGTATTCCTTGTGATCCAGCAATGAAATCAGTCACTTTCCAGGATAACCTAGTGGAAGGTGTCCCTGCCCACAGGATGATCTTTAAGGTCCTGAATGATCTTTAAGGTCCTTCCAACCCAAACCATTCTGGGACTCTATGATTCTATCATGTCACTTCATGCAGTCTATGTCCAAAAGCCTTTTATTCATGCTAGGGTCATTCCCCACCTGCTTGGGCTTCTCGAACATCCAAAAAGTCCTTACAGATGACTCTGTAGGGAGAGAAAAAAAACAATTGAATCTTCTTGTAGTGTATGGGGAATCCTGAGCAGGTTTTAAGTGGGCAAAAAGCAGGTCTAACCAGATGGTTTACTAAGAGCAAGAGCCTACAGCAAGTCACGTCTGCCAGGGTGAGCCAGGATTGGATTCCTTGGCACATCCAAGCCAGCACTCCACATTTTCCAAAGCTCTTGACTTAACGTGCCCAATAAAATTCATTAATATCCATTGCACACATCTGAAATGGTAGTTCACTGGAAATTGCTACCCCAAATCCAATTTTCCTATTGTAAGGAATATTCTGGGTGGTAAATGTGTTGGTTTTTATATTGTTCTAAATTTAAAACTCTTTAAATATTGAAATGATATGAAGTCTCAAAATAGAGAAACCACTGGCAGTTCCCTGAATGCACCTTTTACCTATTACATGCTCATAAAATAACAACATTGCAAGTTTGCCTACCTTTTCATGCCTCTGTAAACCTGAAGTTGATGGACTCCAACAACAATTTAACTCAGTAGGAAAATATTCCAGCAGGGAATAGCCAATTATTATTTATCTCATACTGGGAGGGTGTTGTTGGTGAGCTCTGCCACACTTCCTCAGCTCTGTTTCTATTTTAAACCCAAGTAAGGCTGAAAGCATAGCATGAATAATGTGTTTGGAGGCAGGTAGTGAGTGAGCTGTGGTTTGAATTGAGGGTTGCTCTGTTTTCAATCATTCTGTGTTTTGCTCAGAAAGTTGAAATTTTCCAGCTGCTGTGATTGAGTTTCTAAAATGCTACAGGGCCATGACAGAGCTTTAACTCTAGGCCACCTGAGTGCAGTCTATGCATGGGGAATAATTCCAGAGCTTGAGCTTTCCTGGGTAAATAGAGGAATAAAAATGACTGGGAGCAAGAATAGCTTCTCCTAACTGCTGAATTTCCCCTTGTGCCTTTTGCCTTTGTCAAGTGTTAGGCATGGGCAGGAAGGGAGGAAAAATGTCTGCTCAACTGTTGGAATATAGTTGTTTTTTAGAATGTCAGCACTTCTGTCTCTGAACCACAGGAGATCACATCTGTACACTTAAGCAGTGAGGTGCCTGCTGGATAAAATGCACGATTTTAACGTGAGGGTGGTGAGCCACTGGCACAGGTTGCCCAGGGAGGCTGTGGCTGCCCCAACCCTGGCAGTGTTCAAAGCCAGGTTGGCTAAAGCCTTGAGCAACCTGTTCTGGTGGGAGGTGTCCCTTCCCAGGGCAGGGGGGTGGCACTAGATGATCTCTAAGGTCCATTCCAACTTTTTAACATGCTGTGAAATGATACTATTTTTTTGCACTTACCTACATTTCTACTGAAAATAATGATGTGTCACATGCTAAACTCAGAAGAAGCCTCATGCTGTGTTTGTACCTGCAAAGGTGTATTAGTACTGCAATATACAGGTGCCAGTTCACAGCTATGCAGTATTGACTCTGAGGCTTAGCTTTATGTTATTTTGGGCAAAAAATAATTTTTATTGGATCAAAAAAAAGATGCTGTAGTTGGAATACTTTCTTTCAGCACTCTTTTCACCCAGCTAAGATACATCCATCATGCTGAGGAACTGATTAAACTAGTAAAATCCTTAAGATAAATGAAAATCCATAGGATTTGAAATAATATAACATGCTTCAAGAAATAGAATTACAAATTATCTTTTCCCCCCCCATTAAATATTTTATTTCAGGACACTTAGGAAATTATTATCTGGGAAATAGCTTTTATTAACTTCTTGCATGAGTTTTAGGACAATATTCCCTGTCTTTAGTTGTTCTGAGACAGTCATCTTTCATTTGCAGTGCTGCCTTGTGTCTTGTGTTCTTTCTTTGGTATTTCTAGCAAATGAAATGGAACTAAGCTCTTTAGTTTTAAATCTGCTTTGTCTCATGATTTTCATTTCTCTCTGTCTTTGGATACATAGGCATCAGTAAGTAAGCTTATTTCATTGTCCTAATATTTGTAGCTAGTAGCAACGCTGTTGAATTTTCCTTTTGGTGACTCCCATTCAACCTTGCAAGCTGAAACTCGTCTTTTATTTACCCATTGATCAGAAAAGACATTTGCTGTGAAGTTTCAATACTTCTGTGCTTCTTTATCCTTCTTGGAAGTAGAGAGAGGAATGTGATTGCTGAACTTGAATGGGATTATTTCTAAAGCCAGAGAGTCCTGCTACCTTCAAAAAATGCCCCAAACAAAACCAACACTGAGTGCATGCACAGGGAGTTGGTTTGAGTTCACTGACTTAGAACTGGGTGAAAGCAAAATGTTTCCTGTCTGTTATTTATGATTCCGTGCATGGCCAGTACACATCTTTCAGGTTACAGAGATGTGCTTCAACCTGGTGAGTTGCTGTTCCTCAGTGCTGGAAATACCTCCACATAAACAGAAGGACATTGCAGGATCACCTCAGCCTTGAGAGGTGTCATGTGGAGTGATGAAAGAGCCGAGAAGCTTGTGAAATAATCTGTTCCAGTAGCATAAAGGTTGTTTCATCTTGCATGAGCCTTCTACTGGAGGGTTTCCTTCAAGTTCAGAATCACTTCATTCTCTAAATAGAGAATAGCCTCTAAATAGGTGGAGAGTGCTTGACTGATGTCAGAGTTGGCTGCTTTAAAGAGCTAGTTTGTTAGCTCTGGGGTCCCAGCACAGGAAGGACATGGAGCTGTTGGAGAGAGTCCGGAGGAGGCACCAAGGTGATTAGAGGGATGGAGCAGCTCTGCTGGGAGGAAAGGCTGAGAGAGTTGGGATTGTTCAGCCTGGAGAAGAGAAGCTTTGGGATAACCTAATTGTGGCCTTCCAGTGCCTGAAGGAGTCTGTAAGAAGAATGGATAGAGACTATTGACAAGTGCCTGGAATGACAGGACAAGGGGCAGTGGCTTCACACTGCCAGAGGGCAGGGTTAGATGGGATTTTAGGAAGACATTCATCCCTGTGAGGGTGCTGAGGCACTGGCACAGGTTGCCCAGAGAATCTGTGGCTGCCCCGTCCCTGGGAGTGTTCCAGGCCAGGTTGGATGGGGCTTGGAGCAACCTGGGTCAGTGGAAGGTGAGGTGTCCCTTGAGAGGGGTTTGGAACAAGATGAGCTTTAAGGCTCTTTCTAACCCAAAACACTCTGTGGTTCTATGATGAGTGTGAAGTGAATTATGTTTCATACAGTTCTATTCTGGCCAGAGAGAAGGCTGAATTTTTGCAAACGGCAATGCTTGGGGAGAGTTTATTCACTGGTATAACCCTTTGTGGAGCTTTGTTGCATGTAATTTGCACATGAGAGAGTGATCTCTGCAGGGATGCCAGAACTCTCGTGTCCCTGGGACCATTAGGAAGTTGAGGGTTCCCTGCCTGGATCATCCCCCAGTCAAAACAGAAAACAGAATTTAAGAAGCAAATGTGTTTCATCACCAGAGGCCTTCAGGGGACTTTTACATATTAAATAGCTTAGAGGAAACTTAATATCTTGTAATTAACGCCTATCCCATGTCTAGTTATTTAAATTTCTATTCCAGTTTTGCTAGGAAATATTTTACCACCAGAGGTTAAACTTCCACTGATGTAGATTTCCTTCTGTTTTCTGTGGTATGAAACACCACCACCAAAATCAATGGAACAGTCTGACCAAGAGGTCTAAAACTTCATTTTCCAACAATCGTGTATTCATAAAAGATGCATTTTCTCCCCTATTCCTTTGTTATTTAAATTATGAAAAACACGACTCAAATTTTGGTAGAGACAAGGCTTAAAATTTTGAACTCAGATGCTTTCTGACAGCATTGGACAGCTCTAGAAACCATTTTATATGACATTTTGATTTGTGCATGTAGATGTCACTGCTGTTCCTGCTATAGTTCAGCTGCAGTTCTCATCAGCATCAAATAGGAAGGTTTTGAGTCTGGCATTCAAATTGGGAGGTAGCAGCATCAGGCAAGGGTGGTGAAGCTCTAAATGAAAGGTACGAAAATGGAATTCAGTCTTTGTACCTCATTTCAACCATAGCATTCCCTTATGCCATAGTGTTCCCACCACAGCCTGTCTGACAGATGTATTTAATATTTCAGAGAGTTTTTTAGACTATGTGTCCTCCTGAAGGTTGCTTTCTTGGTTTGGGGTTTCGTTTTGCATCCCCATGCTAGACAGCATAGCCCTAATTACAATACATTTGTTCATGGCAGCAATGAAAGTGAATTTTGCTTTAGTCTCATTGCTGGTGAGGGTAATCTTCTCTCTGAAAGGATAAGGTTTTAGCTCTATCTGACAAAGGCCCAAATCTTAAATCTCTCCCAGTTTGATGGGGAAATAAATGTAGTTTCAGCCTGAGGTGAGTATTAGTTAAAATAGGCTCTAAGGGCACACTTTTCTAGCAGGGAGTTTGGGGATATTGATTTTAAAATACTGTTTGTTTTAAAATATGCTTAGAAGTCTGTGGGATTAAAAATCTTTGAGGCAGGCAGGATCATGAGGCACTGGGAGGTGATAGGTGTAGTCCAGAAAATGGTGCCACCTCCTACTTTTGGTGTAGAAATTCCATGTAACCCAACTGCAGGAGCTTTTCATTGGGTTTGGTGTGGTGCAGAGATGAAATTCATATATACAGTGATAATTCTGTGATGTTTTATGAGGAGATAGAGTACAATATTGATGATAATTTTAAAATCTAAGGCTTGGGGTTTTTTTAACAAGTGGTTGACTAGTTTTTAAACTTGCTGAGTAGCTGAAAATGTGCTTTAACTTTTCTTCCTTCCCCTTTAAAGAAGATGCAAAAGTAAATGTCTTTCCCAGTAGTCTAGTAAATCTGCTCTTTCTGCTGTGTAGCAGTAGTTTGCTAGAAGTAATTTAATGGCTTTTATTCATATCATAAGTTCTTTTTTTCTCTCTCTCATGATTATCTATGTCCATGCATGTTTCCTCACCTGTGATTATCTTCTTTTCTTTCAAGTCTTTTTCTTCTCTACCATTTCCAACAAAGCAGGGGAAAAAAGTCAGTCTTAGAAGAAGGAGACCGTCAGAGAGTTATAAGCAGCTTTGCTTCCCGTGCTATTGAGGCTCACAAGCAATCTAGTATCAATGGATCACTGAACAATAACCTGCCCAAATCTTCGAGTAACATTACTTTCTTATCTGATGAGAACCCATTAACTACTCAAAACCCATTGTACATGGAAGGTCTCACTCAAAGTCCTGCTGCTGCTGGGTTTCTACGGAGGAGAAATGATACTCTAGATACTCTTTCTCCTTCAAGACTAGTGTTGAGAGATGCCTCTTTGGGAGGCAGCCACCGTGCATGGACGGTACCAACTCACCTCGCTAGGAGACATGGGCCTGGTTCTCTGAGCAGGCCAGTTATCATGGACCCCATTCAGTGGCAACAGGAGAGACTCAAAGCCAAGAAGGAAGGACCTGCAAATCAGGATAGCAGTGTTGATGTTAGCAGTCCTCTCTTTCAAAAACTAAGTGGCCCCAAGCTAACTGTAAAAGAGAAGGCAAGACAGTTTGAGCAGCAGGCACTGCAGGAGATGAAGCAAGTGAAGTCTCCCGATGTGAAATCCGCCCGGTCACCAACACACAGCATCAGCGTCCAAGAAGCAGAGAACATGCTAGAGCAGTCTCCTAAAAGTGTGGTTGCTTCTCCTCGCCTTCGCTCTTCTCCGCGGGCCTCTCCAACACCTTGTGCTGAAGTAGCTGAACCAGAGGCCTCCATGGTGCCCTCTGTAATCATCACCCACCACGACTATCCTGATGAACATTCTCCTCCACCGACTCGCAAACCAACTCCTCCGTCTTCTAGGCTAAAGAAACCAGTTTGCCAAAGTTTTCTAACTCCTCAGACCAAAGAAGTTGTACAAAGCATTCCAGATCCACCTAAAACACCCCCACCCCCACCTCCACAGCTGCCACCTCCACTGCCACCACCTCCATCCCCTCCTCAGTTGCCGCCACATCCTCTGCCCACGGTTCCTCTTCCTTCTTCTTCTACTTCTTCTCCATCTCCTCTTAGCACCAAGCTTCCCTCCCCTGCCAAGCATTCCCAGTCCCCTGCCAAACAGCCAGCTGTACCACCATCAGAGCCTCCTCCCCGCAGGGAGCTCAAAGGGATTCTTAAGAACATTCAGAACTTAGCAGCCATCGAAAAGTCTGTGGCCAACATGTACAGCCAAATAGACAAAAACCACATGCTGCCCAAGCACGTGGCTAAGCCCAAACCTGCCGCCCCTCCGGAGCCGCCAACTCCAGAAGCTGCAGCTGAGCACAACCAGCAGAACGGCAACTTGAGCTGTGTTGTGGAGGAGCTCGAGAAACGCTTTCCCTCCCAGTCCACAGCACTGTAATCCTCATGGTTTTCTGCATGTGACCTTTTGAGTGGGATGACTCTAATGCAGCACATGGTATCTGCCTCAGACTCTCCAGAAACTCCCCTCATGACTTATCCACTCCTAAATTAAGAGACATTGTCTTCCCTGTTCACTGGGAAATTTGTAATGTATAATACAATTCTCCAAGTTGTTTTCTCAGAACTCCATCTTACTGTTCTACCATGCTGGTTCTTAGTGTGTTTACCAAAAATTCTTGGGGAAAACTGTCCATTTTTACCCAAGGATTGGTCATAGACAGCTCAGTGCTGCTTTATGTTAAGCAGCCTTCACTGTAGGAAATATCAGTAAGATTTTTCTGCAGCTGTAATTGGAATCTCTTGCTTTGCCCATAAAATGCACCACCTGGAAAGAATCTTCTGCCACATATTTGGTGTCAAAGCAAGCAAGCCCTGGGAGTAAGCAGGCTCAGCAATGGTGAGATGTTGTTGGATGGGGCCTTGAGCAACCTGCTTTAGTGGAAGGTGTCCCTGCCCATGTCAGGGGTATGAAAAAAGATGATCTTTAAGATCCCTTCCAACCCAAACCATTCTGTAATTCCACACTGCATCTCCATTCTCCATGGACAATGATGCTCTGCCCTGCTGATGTGCTTTCTGGCAGCTCATGTTTGCATCTCCAGTCAGAAGAAGGGTTTTGTCTTGATTTGTCAGTGAATCTGGCTGTCTCCCCTCTTGTTACCCATGTTCTGCCTTCCGTTGCATTTTTTATATTGTATCTGCATGTTAAAAGTTTTTATTTTGTAAATTCCTTTCATGTACATTGTTTTTTTCTATTGATTTTGCATGTGCATGTTCTTGATGTCTCTTTAACTTTCATGCTAGTTTGTCTGTCATGAGCTTTCCAGCTGAAACATCTCACCTTATATTGCAATAAAGTCATTCTGATTAGTGTCACCAAGTGAAGGTTTGTCAAGTACTTGTAAAAATCCATGTAATATGGATTTACTTACTGGCTTTTTTGCTCACAGTCATCTAAGTCAGATATTTGCATTAAATATGTCAATTATAAGTGTGTACATATATATATATATAAAAGTAAATTAGCTTGTGCTTTGAAAAAAGGGTAAGTAAAAGCAATCTGGGCATTTAAATGCTTGATTCAACTTGCAAGTTTCCTTTTAGTCTTTTGCTAAAATATAGAACATTTGTGTTTAATAGGACAACTTAAAAGAAACATAGTGGAAAAGGCAGATATTACATAATGAAGCCAAATTAAAACCCCAGTTCTGTAGCAAATGTTGCAATTCTGAGCAAAAAGGTGATGAATTCTTTATCAGACTGTGTAGAGATACTCAGCATTTCCATGGTGCTTGGCTCTTTCTGTTTTCTCTTAGTTTTTGTTTGGTTTTACTCTGCAGTTAGGACATGTATGGATACTTTAGTTGGAATATGCTGGAGGTAGTTTCTCTGTCCCAGAGGCAAACTCCATCAACTCCATCACACAAGTTCTGCTGATACATTAGGCTTTTTCTTTACTTGAATCTCTTGTTGGGCTAGACTGTAGCTTCAAGGTGTGTGTAGTAGCTAAATGTGTGAGGGGAATGATCAGTGTGTAATACTTGTAGTAGCTAAATGTGCGAGGGAAGGATCAGCATGTAGTAGCTAAATGTGTGATGGGAAAGATCAGCAAGTAGTAAATGTAGTAGCTAATGTGTGAGGAAAAGGGTCTGTGTGTAGTACATGTAGTAGGTAATTGTGTGAGGGGAAGGATTGTCCATCACCATATTTTTGCTGCAATAGAATCTGTGTTATTTACAGGTTGTACACATATAGAATACTGCCCACAATACTAAATTCTCCAAGAGTGGCACAGCTGCAACACCAGCGTCAAAGCTTGAAGTTCAGCTCCTGTTAGGTAGAGGAAATTTTCAGACTGAAGAGCCAGAATGGGGAGATGTCTTTCATGTTTACTTCTGTGTGTTAACCATGGTCCTGGTGTGGAGACACTGGGAAGCATGCAGAGATGAGCATGAGAAATTATTGGCTAGGCATGTTCAGAGTGAATCAACCCTAAAGACAGAAATACGAATTTAAGTACCCAAGTCCCACATTAGATCTTGTGGACCCATAACAGATGCTGTTGTGCAGATCATTACATCACTTGTGAAATGTTAGACAAGCAGGACCTGATTTTGCAGCGTGTAGCATCACACAACAAAGGTGCAGGTCTTTAGTCATTCACAGCATACACCCCAAAGGCTTGTTTGGCTACAGTTATGTGAGGCATTCCATAAGCAGAAATAATGGGCATCACACAGGAGCTCCTTTTAAATACTTCGTTTCATCATATCAGAAGAGTCTGAGGAGGGGGTGGTAACCAGCTTTTCACTCATTAACACCTACTTGCTCCTTCTGAAAATGTTTATGAAGTTGGAAAGTTTGCAAAACCTAGTTTTATTTTGTCTGGAATTAGTACAGCCTTTCTTCTCCTGTTGGTTTTCTTTTAATAGCCTTTGTTAAAAAAAATTATTCTACTGAACCAGGAAAGAGGCTATACCAATAGTGTGGTTTTTTGACCTAAACTATTGAGTTCTGTCCCATTGAGCTGTCTGGGTGCTGGAGGGGAAAAGGTTTAAAACCTAAAGAGAAGAGATTTAGATTAGATGTTAGGAAGAATTTCTTTCACCAAAGGATGGTAAGGCGCAGGCACAGGTTGCCCAGAGAAGCTGTGGCTGCCCCATCCCTGCAAGTATTCAAGGCCATATTGGATGGGGCTTGGAGCAACCTGGGCTAGTGGAAGGTGTCCCTGCCCATGGCCAAGAGTTGGAACTGGCTGGTCTTTAAGGTCTCTTCCAACCCAAATCATTCCATGATTCTATGATACTGCAGTATTGCAGTGCTATGAAGTATTAGAACTAATATAGTAGTTGGTAACAAGTTGAGTATATATAAAAATTCATATTTATATATATAATTTGCCCCTCTTCAGGTTGTCTAATTTGGTCAGTTAGTATCCAGTGTGACCATGGATATATCTCTCATCCTTTCCTCATCAGCTTGATGGGGCTGAGTTGTGAGCAGGAGCAGAGTTGGTCTCAGTGGACAGGTCTTCTGTACAACCTGTTTGCAAAGCTGGAATTGAGCCATAGCGTTATCGTTACTCATCCAGACTTGTTCTCCCTGGACTTGTTCTTCTCAGCTCCAGCTATGAACTGCAGGAAACCTCCATTTTAAGAACCAGGGCAAATTGATAAGTAGTTACCTCCTCTGAGCAGTATCTGTCGTATTTGGGGTTTCATATTAAAGCTTTTGCTTTAATATGAAAACAGGTATAAGTTATGAAATAGCAAAGGCCTGCTGGAATGCCAGGAACTGGGGAAATGTTGCTTCAGGCAAGTCATAGTTCTTTTAACCTGTTTTAGCAGTGAAAGGTTGGCAATTTTGGATGTGTAGCTTCATTCTTGTTGTCTCCCTCATGTTAAGTACCAGCAGTGTGTACTGGATGTCTTGTTATCCGACAATCCTTACAGGCACCATGGCCTTGCTTCCCATGTCGCACTGAAGATTTCTCTCTGACTGACTGCAGTGGAGTCTGACTGATCATACTTACCCAGAAGCAATTCCTCCCTCTGTGGAGAGCTTTAATTCCTGCCTGGAAATAAATGAAGTTGTTTTGACCCTTGCCTTTTTGGCAGAATAGATCCTTGTGCTGTATTGAGTGAATGAGTATTTTATGTCTTTTGAGGACTTGTTTTTACTCCTAATCATGGCCACATAAAACTATTAGGCAAAACCCACACGGTGTTACTCTTAAGAAAGTTGAGTCCCAAATTTAATTAGAATTACTTATATTATGCTTTTAATCTACAATATAGCAGCTATCTGAGAGCAATTAAGAGTAATAAGCTTACTTCTCCTCAGACCTCCTATATCTGAAGTTTGTTGTAGGCAATGTGGAAACTAAACATAGTGTTCCTCAAGAGAGCTGTGAAAAGTCACAGATCATCTTCTGATGATAAATCTTCATTTCAGTTGTTCATTAGTTTGATATTATATAGGCGACAGCAGTAATTTAATGCTGATAATCAATTCCATGTGCTGAATATTAATAGGAAACATTAGAGATGGTGACATTAAAGAATTACAAGGATTTCTACTCTGTTCTTATTTACTCAGTGTAATTAAAATCTTCCCCTAGACTTCTGTCTGTGTACTAGGTTAAGCATAACATAATTTTGAACATTTACCCTTTCCTTGTTAAAAAATACAATAAAAATAATCCAGACTTCTCCTTAAGAATAATGTCAAGACCTAAACTGCTGTTACTTTTGCCAAAACCATTTTAATTTTTGCAGCACAAAATGTGAAAACAGAGAACTTGATAGACATAAGTGCATTTGTTATGGCCATGAATGGCTCCAAGGAAATGATGAATTAAAACAACAGCAAATTCCCAGTAAGATCAGAAGCACAAAGCCTGTGGCAAAATAACCATAGATAGCAGAAAAATAATTTCACTCCCGCTCACTGAGCAAATGTTCGGAAGTGTGTAATTGGAATAATAATGGTGATACAAGAAATTAGTAGTAGAAGCTTCAGGGCAATTTCTAGCAAGTCCTGAGTGGATACAGAAAGTCCAGGAGTAGAAAAGAAGTTGTTTCACTGCTCAAGCAGATGTGAGAGGTAACAGAGTCTCTCTGTGGATATTCTCAGGGACAGCAGGAAGGGGCCTGGCAAGATCTCTCTCCCAATCCTCACCCCTTTCCCTTTGCTGAGTCCCACTGGGTTCACTGGCTCTCTGGCTTTTGGGGGTTTCTCCTCATCCATTTGCAATCTAAAGCAAGAAAAGTTCCCAAAGCTTCATTAGCCTTTCTCATGCAATGATCCTTATGCCCAGAGCAAATGCAAAGAAAAACATATTTGGTGTTAGAGATATGTATTGATTTTCTTGCCAGTTATATTTCTAATTACATTATCTTTTCACCTCTGACCAGAAAGAATGGCAATATGCATCTTTATGTAGGCTCACAGAAGTAGACTAATTTCTTTTTTCTCTTTTTCTGACTTCTAGGAAAGGATATGCACAGCAAGAGGTAAGGCTGGGCCCCAATTACCTTTCAAATATTAATAACACCAACATGCTTTTTTCATACAGTCTATGAGTGTGGGCATCAGGTTGAGGGAGGGGATTGTCCCCCCCTGCTCTGCTCTCATGAGACCCCACCTTGAGTACTACGTACAGTTCTGGTGCCCTCCAAATAAGAAGAATATGGAACTGTTGGAGCAAGTCCAGAGGAGGCCAGAAAGCTGATCAGAGGACTGGAGCAACTTGCCTATGGAGACAGGCTGAGAGAGTTGGGGCTGTGCAGCCTGGAGAAGGCAAGGCTGTGTGGAGACCTCAGAGCAACCTGCCAGAATCTGAAGGGGTCTGCAAGGAAGCTGGAGAGGGATCTGCATCAGGAACTGCAGAGACAGGACAAGGGAGAATGGCTTCAAACTGACAGAGGGAAATTTCAGTTAGATATTGGCAAGAAATTCTTCCCTGTGAGGGTGCTGAGGCACTGGCACAGGTCACCTAAAGCAGCTGTAGCGGCCCCATCCTTGGAAATGTTCAAGGCCAGGTTGGATGAGGCTTGAAGCAACCTAGGCTAGTGGAAGATGACGCTGCCCATGGCAAGGGGGTTAGAACAAAATGGTCCTTAAGGTCTCTTCCAACCCAAACCATTCTGTGATCTATGCTATGAAACTCAGGGCTACTGAGTGCTTTTAGAGGCCAGAAATATAAAGTGATTCCAAAAGTTTATGAGCCATAGGCTCCCTGGGGGCTGATACCCATTGTGGCACAAATATGACCTCCAGGCTAGAAGAATGCTGATTAACCAGCCACCAGAAGGAGTTTCTGAGGGAATTCCCTCCATGCATGCTGTGTTTTCCTGTGTCACAGCTGATCATCTGCTATGGGCCAGGTCACTGGACTACACAGACCTTCACTTCAACTCAGCATGGTATGTTGCTCTTGCAGCATGATTTTCTCTAGCAACAGGGAGAAGAGTTTCCTTTGGAACAATCCAATTTAATAATTTGTAAACTTCTCCAAAATACATTTCTGTCATAAAGATTGATATTTACTGATTTTTTTTCCTCCTCCCTTTCTAGAGCAGGTTTGTGTCTCTTAATTCAGATACAGAATTTCCCCAACTTTCAGGGTTTGGCTTTAGGCAAAAAACATGGCTGAAAGAGTGCCACCAAGTTCTCGGAGGACTGTGGGGACGATGGCACTGATTTTGCTGAGTAAATCTGGTTTTAATTTAAAAAACAGCAAGTGATGTGCATCAGTCTGTCATGTGCAGAAAAACAGAGCTGCAGAGTAATCAACAACATGATTCCCAAAATAGCCCATGTTTAGCTGTGACAAACCTATGAACATGTGTCATCCTGTCAGTCATAAAATGGAAGGGACCACAGTGGGGCATCTGGTCCCACCTCCCTGCTCAAGCAGGGTCAGCCCAGAGCACATGGCTCAGGATTGTGTCCAGATGGCTCGGGAATATCTCCTGTGAGGGAGAATCCACAACCTCTCTGGGCAGTCAATGCTTGGTCACTGCCCAGGAAAGAAGTTCTTCCTCATGTTCAGGTGGAACTTCCTGGGCATCAGTTCCTGCCCATTGCCTCTTGTCCCGTTGCTGGGCCCCACAGAGAAGAGCCTGATGCATCCTCTGACACCTCCCTGCAGGCACTGACAGATATGGATGAGGTCCTTCTCAACTGTGTCTTCTCAAGGCTGAACAGGCCCAGCTCCTTCATCTCTGCAGCTTCTGCTGGATCTGCTCCAGGAGCTCCATGTCCCTCTGGTCCTGAAGAGCCCAGAACTGGACACAGCACTCCAGATGTGCCTCACTGGGGCTGAGCAGAGAATCAGGATCACCTCCCTGACCTGCTGGCAATACTTTTCTTCATGCTCCCCAGGATACACACTGTCCTCTCCATGCAACCTCCTGGGGTCTTTTCCCTCACCTCAGCACACTCCTCTCATACAGAAAGAGATCCCACATAAGCTATAGAGAAAACAAGTGGGATAATCCTTCCCTGTCTTACTGATATACTTAATAAAAGTGTTTTTGGGGTTGAGTGTAACTCAGTTGAAAGCCACAGAAATCTGGAAAATTAACGTGATGATACTACAGTAGAAGCTTTGGGTAAGAATTGGATCACTTCAGGGTTTTACTAGTTGATTCACAGACTTTACTGCAGATTCCCATAGCTTTGCTTTCTAGCTTTTATGGATAACTTTTTGGCTGTCCTTGTCTCCCTGCTGTCTCCAACATCCACCACATAATAGTTCTCTTGGCCTCTGGCAGAAGTTCTGGAGTGAAATATTTAGAGAATCACCACATAAACTGATCATTTGATTTTATATTAGGCAAAAGCAATGGTGGGATGTAAAGGGATTTTACTACATTCAGGTGCTGAGGTTCTCACTGAGTATCCAGGTGACTGTCATAAAAAAGCTCAGAAGGACCTGTGGTTTTAGCACTTCTTTGCAACCTTAAACACAATGACCTGTGCTTTAATTGTTAATGCCTAATTCACCCCTTTCTCATTTTCTCTTGTAGCAACAGCAGTTGCTGAGACCTTCTCTTCTCAGACCAGAGGTACGACTATTTTTCATTTCTTAATTATTGTACAAGATTTTACATGGCTTTTACATAATTTTCTAATAAAAGACTTGTCTGTATCAGGTAATTTTTCCTCCTGCCTCTTTTAGATGAAGAGGAAAAATTGTGGCATTACAGAATCACAGAAAGGGTCAGGTTGGAAGGGACCACTGTGGGGTATCTGGTCCAGCCTCCCTGTTCAAACAGGGTCAGCCCAGAGCACATGGCTCAGGATTGTGTCCAGATGGTTCTGGAATGTCTCCAGTGAAGGAGAATCCACAGCCTCTCTGGGCAATCTGTCCCAGTGCTTGGTCAGTGCACAGGGAAGAAGTTATTCCTCATGTTCAGGTGGAACTTCCTGGGCATCAGTTCCTGCCCATTACCTCTTGTCCCGTTGCTGGGCCCCACAGAGAAGAGCCTGATCCATCCTCTGACAACTTGACAGTTTGCAGATGCTTATATATATGCACACATTGTTGCCCCATATATGTTATTTAATTAAATGCCTTGAATTTACTGCGTCTTGGTATTTTCAAGGCCAGGCTGGATGAGGCTCTGAGCAACCTGTGAAAGTTTTTCCTGCTTTAAGGTTCCTTCCAACCCAAACCAGTCTGTGATTCTATGTTTTTCACCATGAGGATTTTGTCACACAGACTGAAAGCTTTCCTAGGCCCAGATTTACGGACAGATTAATTTCCTCATTGCCCAACTGCAATCTTATTTATTTCAGATGTCAATCAACTTCTAATTGCTTAATGCACCTCGAGCTGAGCTAAGCAGTTGCGCTGTTGAGGTACTGGAAGCATTAGTGCACTGCTGTGAAACGCAAAGGCAACTCTGGGTCACAAACCTTTCTACTTCCAATCTCTTACACCCAATATTGTTTCCAGAATAAGCAATGCAGCAAGCATGAGATGTTGCTCTCAGTGTTATTTTTGTGATAGTCATAATAAGTAATTACATAATAAATAACAAAAATCTTAGTAATCACATTTGTACCTTTTCCACCACTCATTGCTGTGTTTAACTATTTGCATTTCTCTTTTACAGGAGCTAAGTATGGAGTCTGGAATTGATCCAGGGCAGGAATACTATGGGCAAGATTACTACAGTTATGAGCATGGGTATATTTTCCTTTTCCCTATTTCTTTCTGCTGCTTTTCCAGGTTGGTGATGTTTGTTATTACAGCAGCTAATCGTGAGACTTTCCTGCACCTCAGGATTACTTTAATCTTTGTGCCCACAGAGCTGTTCACTGACAACAAGCTCTTTTCAGAAGTTAAGGGGGTGTTTGATAACTCCCTGCTTCTTTAGGAATCTCATTATTAAGCTTGCAGAGTGTACTCCCATCTATCATGCTGGTTTTACATTCACTTTTTGTTGCCTGTTTCTGCTGTCTTGGAGATTAATTTTCATCACCTGCTCCCCTTCTGAGTGCAGGGACTAATCCTTTGTGCTCACAGTTCCCAGCCAGCATCAGACATTTTAAATTTCCCTCAAAAAACATCATCCTGCCTTGTCCTGATAAAGTCCTTTTGACTACAAGCACCTCAGGGGTTACTACTGCCTGTACAAACTTGCAGAGATTCTCCAAAACTGATGCCAGAGAACCTGCTCATTCATTCTTCAATTATAAAAATGATCCCCCCAAAATCAGGTAGATTGAAAGAAGGTCACTGCACTTGGGGAGGTCTTGACTGATCCTAGAGACCTTACGATTCAGGTCACCCTCCATTTGGGCTTGTGGCCAATTGGAATAGAAAGAGATTTTGGATCATGTTGTTGCTAAGGAAAAAGGAATAGCTATCTTCTCAAATGTAGAGAGAAAGGAGAAAAAAGCACATACCATCCCTTTGAGGAGGATCTTGGCCTGTATCAAGAATAGTGTGGCAGCAGAACTAGGGCAGTGATCATCTCCCTGGACTCGGCATTGGGGAGCTCACAGCTCAGTGCTGTGTTCAGCTTTGGGCCCCTCACTGCAAAAAGGCCATTGAGGCACTGGAGCGAGTCCAGCCAAGGGCAACGAGGGCAGCAAAGGACTAGAGCACATGAGGAAGGGCTGAGGGAGTTGGGTTGGTTAGCCTGGAGAAGAGGTTCAGGGATGACTCTGCAACTCGCTGACAGGGCTTGGAGAGAGGTGTGGGATGGTCTGTTCTGCCATGGCTGCAGGGAGAGGACTAGAGGGAATGGCCTTGGGCTTAGCCAGGGCAGAGTCAGAGGAGATGTTAGGAGAAATGTTTTCCCTGTGAGACTGTTCAGGCAGGAATATTGCTCAGGGAGGTGGTGGAGTCACCATCCCTGGAGGTGTTTAAGAGACATCTGGATCTGGTGCTGGAGGATATGGTTTAGGGGTTCTAGCAGTGACAGGTTAATGGTTGGACTTGATGATCTTCAAGGTCTCCTCCAACCTTGATTTTTTTGTGATTCTCTGATCTGGTCCCACCTCCCTACTCAACAACTTAATGCTGAGCCATGTGCTCTAGGATGGCCCTACTTGAGTAGGGAGGTTGGACCAGATGATCCATTGTGGTCTCTTCCATCCTAACTGATCCTATGTGAGTATGTGCATTTCTGGCTATGTTGATGAGACACATGGGAGCATGTTGGTGCATGGTATGAATGGTGGTGTCTTTGGCAGGTACGAGCTGCCTCAGTATGGGAGCCGTCGCCGACTTCTGTCTCCATCAGGGATGTACGATGAGTATGGGGAAATGGTGGTGGAGAGTGACGGTGGCTACTACTATAGTCCACATGGAACAACTGCAGAAGAGGTAAGAGTCTCTGGTGTGCTCACTTTGTCTCTTCAGTAGGTTGAAGAACCACTAAACCTTGTCAAACATATGTTGCCATTGATTGGAATTGTGTTCCATGTAGACCAAAGAAGCATCTCTTCAAATGAGAAGCATCATTTGTCCTTCTGATGAAGTTTGTGTCAACACCTCTTTCTCTTTTTCTAGAAACAAAAAGGAATTGCCAAGTTTCTTTTAATATCCACATCTGGTTTTCCACTCAATGTAGATTTTTAGTTCAAAGAAAAATCCACTTAGCCTTAGGTAATTCCACTTTATATCATTAATCAAATGAGGATACCTTCCAGTGTCTGAAGGGGCCTACAAGGAACCCAGAGAGGGACTCTCCATCAGGAACTGGAGTGACAGGACAATGGGGAGTGGCTTCAAACCAATAGAGAAGAAATTTAGGTTGGATATTGGGAAGAAATTCTTCCCTGTGAGGGTTATGAGGCCCTGGCACAGGTTGCCCAGAGAAGCTGTGTCTGTTTCATCCCTGCAGGTGTTCAAGGCCAGGCTGTATTTGGCTTGGAGAACCTGGGCTAGTGGAAGGTGTCATTGCCCATGGCAGAGGGGTTGGAATGAGATATCTTTAAGGCCCCTTCCAACCATTCCATGATTCTGTGCTTCTGTAACTAATATACCAACCTATAACTGCTGACTTTCCACTGAACAAAGCAGTACCTAAACTCATTGATTATGAAGTTCACAAGTCCATGTAAAAAAATTTGAAACTGTTAGTGGCGACCAGAAGAAAGTTGATGTCAATGTTCCTTTCTTAACAAAAATCCAGTTTTCATAAACACCAAACTACTAATCCGTTATTAAATGAGAAGAGATAACATTTCCCAGCCAGTATTTGTCCCCTTTGCAGGGTAAGTTGGTTGTACACTTTCAACCTATTCTACAAGTCAAACTTTCCCCATAACTTTGGTAACAAATACTGTTCTGAAACAGGTAAGTTGGTTTTGATGCCGGGAAAAAAATGTTTTATCTGCTCCTACTGATTTATTTTAGTGTCCAGGTTTTCCCAGTAACTCTTTCAAATTGTAATCAAGTTCATTTTCATAATTTGCAGGAGATGAGTCAAATCAGAGGTCCTCCAGGTGGTATAAGCCAGCCAGCAGGGGCTCAAATAGCAGCTAGACCTTTAGCTGGTGACATAGACCTTAGACAGGGTCCTCCTGGAAGAGCATATAGGACTGGCCAGGGAAGAAGGAGACTAAGAGCAACAATGCATGTGAGTCGTGTAGCAGTCAGTTCTCACAAAGCAGTAGGAAGAACTGAGTCTGCTCGTTCTCGGTGGAAGAAAACAAAGATATTCCCAATGATCCTGCAGAAAGTGAAAAGTAAGAAAGATTCCAGTTATGCCAAGCTGATGTCAGCTCGCCAAGCAGATGAGGACAAGAGCATGGTTATCAGGGGAAGCTACTTCCAGAAATCCACCGATGGCAGACCTTCCATGAGAAAACTCAATCATGTCCTGAAACGTATCAGTGTCTCCAAGAAGTTTCAAGAGCCTCTTGGCAAGGATGAAGAGTTTGAAGGAGATGAATCAAAGTCAGGAGTTTCCATAAGTATCACGGCAGAGAGTGAGCAGGAGGACAGTGATTACGAGAAGAGGAAGAAGAAGCGAAGGAGACGCCCTTCGGATGCGTCAGCAAAGAGTAGCAGCGAAGAGTCAGAAGACAAAGACTACTTGAAAATAACTCTAGACCAAGACGAAGCCACAGAAAGTACTGTGGACTCAGATGAAGAAACTGGGCATGATTTGGGGGATTCTGATGAGGAGTCTGGATCCAGCTCCAGCAGTGAATCCGAAGAGGACTCATCTGAAGAGGATGAAGATGAGGAAGACTCTGAGAGCGATGAAGATGGCAGCCTGTCACACAGCTCATCTACACAAAGTTCCTACAGCAGATCAGGGGCTAGTGAGTCCAGCAGCAGAAGAAGCACTGAAATGTCCAGTGTAAAAAGCAAGGGAGGCAACTCTCGGGGCAGAGCGAAGCGCTCCAGTCAGAAATCCATCAGCTCTACTGCATCAGGGAGTGACAGGGACTCAAGCTACAGAAAAACCTCAGGATCCAGCTACAAGAGCAAAACCTCCTCTGCCAGTGTTGAAATAGAAGACACAATAGAGGAGGTGTCAGAAGAAGATGAAGAAGCAGATGAGACAGCAGATAATTCAAAAAAGACAGGTGCTAAAACATCTGCCAGTGCAAAAACTGCTGCTACAGGAGGCAAGAGAGGAAAATCAGCTGTTGATGGTGAGAAGAATGTGAAGAAGAGTGCAAAGAAGAGTGCAGAAGAGGTTGAGACAGATGCTAGTGGTGCGGAGGAAACAGGTGGTGCCACATCTGGTAAAACTACCACTTGCCCTGATATTGACACCAAGGTGAAAAGAACAAAAACAGGGAAAAAAGTGTCCCAGGGAAACAATGAGTGTCAGTCAGGTGAGCCCCTGGCTGCTGGCACCACCGAGTCGGAGGCTGCGGGGGATTCTACAGACTTTTAAGGAGGAGTGACAGTAGGTGGATGGTTTGCAGTGAGGAGTGATTTGGTTTGCTATGCCTTCTGTGTGGTCTTTTCTAAGCAATGAACATTGACTAGAGACAGCTGAAGAGAAAAGGGCAAAGCTTATTGATTCAACATTTGACTGTCTCAAGGATAGAACTGTAGAAAACTAAACTAATATGATCCTTCTGTGAGGAATGTGTGTGTATATATATATATATATATATACACACACAGTGGTGGATATAGAAAGATTAATTTTCATGGAGCAATGACAGGAAGAAGTGCTTCAATTTTCTATGCTAATTTCCGTAATATAGGTAAAGAAACATTGTGCTGATTGTTAGATTTATTCCTTTATGCATCACATTCATCATGAAGCAAAGTAACATCATGTCTTGCATTAGTTATGATGGAGCTCAACAAACCTGATGGCCCAAACCTATGAAGGGCCCTGTGTTCATGCAGGTTATGTCCGGCACAAAATGGAACACTGCAGGAAGGAAATAGGGCAGAAACATGGAAGTCAGGGAAGAACAGGAATGCTGATGAGGAGGATGAAAATATTTTCAAGTCATACATGATTTTACCTTATGATCCTCTACTATACATTTACTAATCTCAACTAATTCTCTGCTGTCTCCCTGTATGCAGGGAGGACAAGCTAAACTGCAGCAAAGAAATAGTCCCAAAACTGCAGAGTATAACTAGGAGAGATGGGATTGAACTGTATCTGGATGGTGGGATTCAGGTTACAAACAGCAGTGATGCACAAGGCAGCACTGCAGGTGTACCAAGCGAGCTTGGTCAGAGAAGGGAATGGATTTAATTTCCCAACTTCTGCCCTTTCTGCATAACAGCACAGTGGTTTGATGTGATTTAAACACCTATTTGAACTGGATCCATGATCACTTACCTACCCTTTTTCATTCCTATACAGCATGAAGTTGTAGCTGCATGTGGTGTTTTAATGTCAATTCCATTTAATCCAGGCACTCATCATCCACCCCAATATATCCATGTGAAGAAAATGGTATGTCATTGCCAGGAACAATAAGAATAGGCATCAATGTAATATGTACCAAGTGTAACTTCTCAAAGGCTTAAAAGTAATCACCTCCTGTTTGTACCTTGCGTGATTTTCTTCCTCTAAAAACTGGCTCTTCTCCTGTACGTGTGTGTTTTGCAGTGGGAGTTAGCTGTGATGGTATCTGCTGCCTTGGTGTTTCATTAGTCATCCAGGAAGGATAGTTGCATGTTTCAGTGCACTGCAAGGAGGCATTTATTTTAAAAAGGTCAATTCCAAATGAAAATCAGTAGTGAGGTTTGTGTAATCACTCTGTAGTAATCACTATTAGTACAAAGTTGCAGCAGCCTGGAAATTGTTTGCATTCATTCTTTAAAAAGATGTATCAATTACATAAAATCCAAAGTCTCATTTCTTCACCATCTTCCATTTAATAGCCAAACATCTGCATTGATTCCACTAGATTGGATCTGGCACAAAGCCTTATATCGAGCTCTTCTTTTTTTAACCAGCCAATGTTGCCAACGTCACGGCTGAGAATTTGCCTTGTGTAGCTCCAGAGATTTTCTCTCTTTGATGTGTTGTGCATGCAAATCAGACCTGCTCAATGCCATTTCTGTACTGAATTCACAATCTAGCAATGGAAGAAAACTTTTCTATGACTTCTCTACAACTGCCTGACAGCGGTTGTAGAGAGGTGGGGGATGGTCTGTCCTGCCATGGCTGCAGGGAGAGGACTAGAGGGAATGGTCATAAGCTGAGACAGGGTTGAGGCAGAAGAGATCTTAGGAAGAATTTTTTCCCTATGAGGGTGTTGAGGCACTGGAATATTGCCCAGGGAGGTGGTGGAGTTACCATCCTGGAAGTGTTTAAGAGGCATCTGGATCTGTTGCTAGAGGATTTGCTTTAGGGTTTAGGGATTCCAGCAGTGGCAGGTTAATGGTTGGACTTGATGATCTTAGAGGTCTCCTCCACCCTTGATGATTCTATGATTCTAATGCCTTCAGAACATTTACACATTAGTTTCTTAAAAGTCTCACTTAGGCAACAGCATGCTGACTTTCCTTCCAGTTCCTGCACACAGCCTAAGGGGAAGGAGTGTAAAAGACCAAGGGAATAAAAACTGATAAGCGTTATTGTCACAATTGTCACAACTTACCTGTAGGGTCATGATGTTCGTTATCAATTCTGATCAGACTGAACAGAGACACCAGACCACATGTCAGGGAACTTTAGGCTTTATTGTACCAAAGGTGCTGCTCACAAGGCTCAACCCCACTTTTCACAATCTCCCCGCTCCCACAACAAACTTCAGTACAGAGCACAGGGTAAAGTCTGATTGCTGTGTTTGGCCAAGCAAAGCCCAGGAAGAGAGAGAGAGAGAGAGAAAGACAGAAAAGGGAGGGAGCTAACACAGAAAATCACTAGACCTCAGATCCCATGTTGCTCCTGACATGTGGATGTTCCAGAACTGGGGCAAAGCATGATAGTGAAAGAGAGGAAAGAGAGAGAGAGAGGGAGTGAGGGGGCCTGATCCTCTCCTTTTATGGGTAACCTGGTGCAGCCTCTTTTGTAAACTGGATTTTCCTTGTGGTTCTGTTCACATGTGCACAGTCCCTTTGAGCCCTCCTCAGGGAGTGAGTCAGGGGTGAGGGGTACTGAGCAAGGTCTCCAGGTGCAGCAGAGGAAGCTGGCTCAGAACATGCTGTCCCCACATTCACAGGACCCTCTGCTCCAATCACATCTTACCTATCATCACAGCCACAGTGTCTGAGACAGAATATGCTCATGTCTGGTCCTCTATAGTTCTGAATTAATTAACAGATAGAAAAAGGGCAGGGAAATACAAGAAATAGTGCTGAGATGTAATGACATTTCTGTTTATTGTCCAACAGTGGGCCAAAAAGAAGAAGATCAAATTGGTGGTTGACCCAGAGTACGAGACCAGCTCCACGGGAGAAGACAGCGCTGATTCCAGCCAGAGGAGTCGCCTCAACAACCCCAACATCCAAACCAACGTCAATGGGAACATCTACATCGCCCAGAATGGCTCAGTTGTCAGAACCCGACGTGTTTGCCTTGGGAATAACTTAAAAGTCACCTCTCCACTGAGGCTGGGGAAGCAGTTCAAGAAACTGGACAAGCTGGCAGTGACACATGAGGAGAATGTCCCGCTGAACACATTGTCAAAGGGACCAGCTCCTAGTGACAAACTGAACACAAGACCTTGCAGTGTCTCATTTGCTTCCTCTACTATAGGGGCTGAAAGTATAGTAACAAAGCCTGGGGGGTCCAAAAGGAAAAGCACAGAAGAGCAGGAATCAGTTGTCGGCAATGAGGATGTCAAAGAGCCCTTGGAGTCTCACAGTGAACACACACAGTCAGATGAGGAGGAGCTCTGGATGGGCCCTTGGAACAACCTTCACATACCAATGACAAAACTGTGATTTTAGTTTCTTTTTTAATTTCCATTTTTACTTCAGTTTATAATAAACTGTGCTTTTTATTGGCACCAAGGGGAAGTGGATGCAGTTTGTATCGTGCACATCCGTTGTCTACTACAAACAACAACGCTTTAAAGTTTCCAAACACAATTTGCACTCACATTTGTACCAATTAATTGTCCTCCCCAACAACTCTTTTGACAGGCTCCCATTTCACTAAACAATTTCTTTTAATTAATTAGTTCTTTTGGATCTGAATTTCTTGTTTAATAAACAGTCAACTACTAATAAATGCACAGCACCACTTGGTTCACTTTCCAGCCAGTTCTATACCTGCCTAGCTTGGTATTTTTCTGTATGGTACTTGTGGCTCTACTGTTTAGATTTGGAGACTGTCTATTTCTGTTGGAGATTTCTCTCCAGAGCTCTGGATTTCTGAGCTCAGAGTCATGAAATCAAAATAAATCCATGGAAGTCAATGGAGCAAATCCTCGACTGGCTTAAATTTGAGTAACAAATCCAAAGTCAAAAGGGATAAAGTAATTTATGCACCCAAGGGTGTTGCTCAAGGCCCAGCTAGCAAACTTAGGGAGTCAGCGTTCTTCAGAGCTACATAGAAAAGTGGAATAAAAGATGAAATAAGATCAAAATTGCAAAGAGGAAGGAAATGTGTAGCCATTAATCTTGTTCAGAGCTACCTGGCCATGGGTTGTTCATTTTCTTTTGTAAATTAGCCTGTTCCAATTTTCTTCTCTAGTCAATTTGTCATCTTTTCATCTCTTCCCACATCAGTTCTGTTTGCTTCTTTCTCTGCTCTTTAGCTTCAGTTTTTATGCTCCATCAGTAATTGTCATCCTATGGCTATATTTCTCCCAACTAAACCAGGATGATCCACGATCCTGGGTGATAGGAGGAGACATTAAAGAGTAATTAATAGGAAGGGGATGGATCCATTTTCCAGTCCAGCTGGCTGTTGGGTTAAGCTGTGCAATCACCATTCCACTCTGATAGTGTTGAACATAAACCTGCTGAAAAGAAAAATGGATCACATGGGGAAGAGGATAAAAAGTGAATATTTGATGAGGCTAATATGCAGACACAGATCTGTGAAGGGCAAAGGGTGTCACAACACACACACAGAGTTGTTTCCAAAACTTTAAGGAGGCATTCCTTGTAAAATACACAACATAAATTTGACCACCTGCTTGCAATTTGTGTTTGTACCTCAGAGCAGTGAGTGTGTTGTGTCACAGCTTGAACAGGGAGCTGAGAGCTGCCACTGTTAGTCACCAATACCCAAAAGTCATTAGTTGTACAGAGCAAAGTGGTTTTCTCCAGTGTGATACAGGAAAGGCAAAAAGCAGAATCGTATTCACATGAATAAAGTGTTGAGTTGTGCCAACTTTTTTTCAGGGTAAGCTCAAACTAGCTGTGAGAACACCATGGATTCCTCTGGAAAGACAGGAAGAGTCAATAGATGAACACATGCAATTAGTGAGGAGATGGGTGGCATCATTCTTTCCCTGGTCTATAGCTGAAGCTTCACCACAAGACCTGGATGAGGATCGTTCTGCCCTGGCAGTAAATGGACTTCTGCTGCTGTGGTTGTGTTGGTTTTCCCTTTGCACAGGTTCTCCTCCACCAGATCCCTGGAAATGTTTGTCTGTAGAAGCTGTTAGCATGTTCTGCCTATGTAAATGTGACCTTTCTGTCAAACACCTTCTCAAGCTGAGGTTTTCAACCAAATACTTTGATCAATGGTGCTTGTTTTTAGGCGTGAGAAATGCAATGTAGCCTACCACATATGGGGGAAAAACCCACTGGGTATTTCTTTTCCCTAACTCTTTTCTCTTGGCATATTTGCACTTGGTATCTAACAAAAAACAGCTGTTTGGAGTAGAGCTGGAGCCTGGACACAAAGATGAGACTGATGGAAGAAAGAAAAGAAATCTATTCTTTGAAATAACTAGTAAAATGTTCTATTTTAATCCTGTTTAAGATACTGTTATTATTTCACTACCTCATTTTTATTGCCAGATACAATTCTGTTCTTACTTTAATGCCTTGATGAGGTCATGTGCTTTGTAGAGCAATGTTTTCTCCTAGCTGCTCTCGAGTTTCTGGGGGGAAAAGAAGTTGTTTCTTCACTTCTAGAGACACAACTGTACCAGCGGTAGCTCTGAGTCTGTGAAGCTGGTGGGCAGGAGTGCTGTCTGTGCTTATCAGAGGGAAAACCTGTCACTACCATCCCCTGATCAAGCAGGATCACAGAATCACAGAGAATATCCTGAGTTGGAAGCGACCCTTGAGGATCATCTAGTCCAACCCCTGGCCCTACACAGGACATCCCTGAGAATCACACCCTGTGCCTGAGAGCATTGTCCAAACACTCCTAGAGCTCTGTCAGGCTTGGGGCTGTGACCACTGCCCTGGGAAGCTGTGCCAGTGCCCAAACACCCTCTGGGGGAAGAACCTTGTCCTAATAACCAGCCTAACCCTCCTCTGACATGGCTCCATTTGTTCTTCAGATCCTGTCACTGGTCACCAGAGCAAAGATCAATGCTGCCTCTGCACTGCCCTCATGATCTGTTTATCCTGATAATCCACTGCTGCTAAAAAAAAGCATTATCTGTGCAAGGTCATTAAGCCTTCAATAGGTGGATATTAGTCATCATTAATTACTTCCTTGCCAGCAGTGAACAAGATCTATACAAAAAGCATAAGAAATTCCACTTTTTCAGCAATGGGGGTGTGTGTTATCTAAAATTTAGCTCGATTTTAGCTAAACTTTCAGCCCCACGACTACTGTTGGCTTTGTGAAGTCTTTCACAGGTGGACAAGAATGGAGAGGGGATTTTGCTTTTGATTTTTCTGTGGATGTAATACTGTAAATTAACACAAAATTGATTATCTGATGGCTGGTCACTAGTGGTGTTCCCCAGGACTCAGTGTTGGGATTGAGTGCACCCTCAGTTAATTAGCAGATGACACTAAGTTGGGTGGGAGTGTGGATCTACCTGAGGGTAGAAAAGCTCTACAGAGAGACCTGGACCGACATGATCAGTGGCTGAGGACAACTGCATGAGGGTCACTAAGGCTCAGTGCTGGTCCTGCCCTTGGGACACAACAACCCCATGCAGCTCCAGGCTGGGGGAGGAGAGAGGTGTTGGTCACAAAGGGACTTGGCAGTGCTGGTGGCAGCAGCTCCATGGGAGACAACAGTGTGCACAGGTGGCCAAGAAGGCCAAGGGCACCTTGGCCTGGCTCAAGAGCAGTGTGGCAGCAGGACTAGGGCAGTGACCATCCCCCTGGACTCGGCACTGGGGAGCTCACAGCTCAGTGCTGTGTTCAGCTTTGGGCATCTCACTGCAAAAAGGCCATGTTTTCACATGTTTCACACCCTCATGTTTTCCCTGTGAGGGTGTTCAGGCCCAGGAATATTGCCCTGAGAGGTGGTGGAGTCACCATCCCTGGAGGTGTTTAAGAGGCATCTGGATCTGGTGCTGGAGGATATGGTTTAGGGGTTCTAGCAGTGACAGGTTAATGGTTGGACTTGATGATCTTGGAGGTCTCCTCCAACTTTGATGATTCTATGAATTCTGAACTTGTTTATGTGGGTCTGCCAGACTGAATTACTACAGATTTCAGGCTGTGACAGGCAGTGAGTGCCAGAACCAACAGCAGTAACTGTACAGATTGATCCAGTAAAACAAGTCACTTCTACTTTCCATTTGGGAAGCGAAGTATTAGCACAGCTTTGGTGGATACAGCAAGGAGAATAATGGATGTGTGTCTTGGGATATCATCTACAGCTGTTTAACCACTAAAATTTGTCAAGCTCTGAGGCAAGGCAGTTGCAGTTTCCCCTGGGTGGCAGAACTACTCACTGGCTGACTGATCAATGTGCTAATCATTGCTCCTGCCATTGATTTGACTTGTACCTCCTCCACTGATGGTTTAGGGGTTTAGCACTGCATCTGCTACATTTGCAGCGTAAGGAAGTTTCAAATGGGTGGCTGTGGAAGGGCCGTGGAATGCGCACTGGGAGGCAGGACAAAAAAAACCTGGAGGAAAATTGGAATATTTTTGGTTTCTCCTTTGTGTAAGTATATATAAGCTATGAGCAAGACTCTAAAGAAAGACCCATGGATCTATGAGGGACCTGTTACCTCCAGTTAATCATTTTAGCCTGAAATAATGATGTATTAATGGTAGGTAGTCCTTGCACCCAGGCTTTGCTGTGGGGAAAAGGACTATGTGGTCATGCTGGGTGATGTGCCTGTCTTGGTGCCTTCTGCTGGCATAGATGTCCCAGCACAGTCCCTCAGCATTCCCCTGCCACAGGCTGAATCCTTCCAGAACCTGCTTATGTAGCTGGAAAACTTGCACAGTCAGCAACATGGAGAAGTGATTTGGGAAAAAAAAGTGACTTTTTAGCCATGGGAGAACAGCAGCAGCCTGAGACAAATTGCAGCTTATATGGGGAAAAACACATAGTGGGAACAGGCTGGTTTGGGCCTGTCACAACTGTGGGAGTGCTTTGTGGGAAGTGTCACACACTTCTAAGGGAGCACAGCTTGATGTTTACAGAAGTCTTTAATGGATGATAGCCACAGTGGTGGTTGTCCCCAGGTTCCTGCTGTGTGATACTTTCAGTGGCTTCTCCCTCTTAAATCAGTTTACTTCTAGTTGTAACTGGAAAAGGTAAAATTAAGTCGATTTTCAAGCTGATGGATGGTGATAAGTGCTTCTTACTGTGTGATGTTTAGAACTGTGCTGCAAATGGGGGAGGTGCATTTCAATTCTTTCTCATGAAGCCCTAGTTCAGTCCTGACTCTAGCCAAAGGTAAAAAGGGTTCTCCTGCTTGTTCTCCTACTCAGCACACACCTGCTTGCTGTCCCCTCAAATGCTGCATGCAGAAACAGTGACTTTAATACACTCCTTAAGGACAGAACCAGCCAGAGGGACCTGGACAAGCCCCAGAAGTGCCAATAGGAATCTCTTGAGGGTCTTGGGTTACGGCAATCCCTGGGATCAATCCAGGCTGGGGCTGGGCAGATGGAGAGTAGCCCTGGGGAGAAGGATTTGTGGTGCTGTGGGTG